ATAAATTCCCAAACTTTAAGCCTTGAAGGAACAAGGATTAGATGAGCAGAGTAACTCTGCCTGGTTCTGCCTGCCACAATCACTGGATGTGTGTTGTGTGCGGCATCAAAAACCAAACTGGAGCTCAGACTCTGGCCAGAAGTTGGCTCTGAAGAGCTTATGTTCAGCGTAGAGCTGTGGGGGTGGAAAGTGTGTATGTGTGTGGGAGAAGTTACACACAGATTTCCTCGGTTCTAAGAAGTTTTGTGTTCTCTCTCCAAAGCTCTACAAAAGGTTTGATCTCCCAGGAACTCCCCCAGAGTCTATGGGGAGAGGAAGAGACTGGAACGTGGACCTAATTCCCAAATTCCTTATGGCTAACGGTAAGTGATCCTGAGCTCCCTGATGTGCCTTGTAAGCTCAGCCTGGTGTCAAGTGCTGGAATGGAACAAACCTCGCTGACAAATCCTCAGCCTCTAATCTGTGTGTTCCAGTGCTGGGAAAGGTCTTCAGACCAAACCCACCCTCTGTGAGGTGGTTATCAAGTTTGGGGGCAGCTCCTTTGCCAAACCCAACCACTTGCTGCTAGAATCTCGTCCCTGGAGCTCAAAGGGCTGAGTGTATTGTGCAGTGCCAGCCTGGCTTGAGGTCACTGCCGTGGAGAATCTGACAGATCCCACCCAGGGCTTGGCTGCTCTCGTCCCACTTACTTCCAGTTTGCTGTGGGGATTGACCATGGTGCTGCCATGGAAGGGATTGTTCTCTTGGAAGAGCAGCCTTGGGAGCAGCTGTGTCCTCGTGGCTCCTGGCTGTAGACCAGCTGGGTCACTTGTGTCACACCTCCTCTGCAGGTCAGTTGGTGAAGATGCTGCTCTACACAGAAGTCACTCGCTACTTGGACTTCAAGGTGATCGAGGGGAGCTTCGTCTACAAGGGAGGGAAGATCTACAAAGTTCCTTCCACTGAGGCAGAAGCTTTGGCATCCAGTGAGTAGCTGCACCTTGTTTGTTTCCTCCTGAGGCTCCCGTTCCCTAAACAAAGGCAACACCCACATCTTGGGTTACTCTTGATGCTCCTCAGGGGAGCATCCTCAGGGTTCTCCTGCGCCTGTTTGACTTCAAACACCACTTGCAGTGTGAGCCTTGAGCTTCCTGAGCCTTGAGTTAGGGTTTTATTGGAGCTCTCAAAGGGAGCCAGCAGAGCTGCCTGTTCTGTGGCCCTTGTGGAGAGGCTCTCCCTGAGAGGTTACATCTGGGGCTTGTGCTCCCAGTTCTGCCATAAATGTTTAGTGTTGGGCCCTCGTTGGGTGGAACTGTGTGTGTGAAATATTGCATTCCTTGGGAGGCAGATTGCAATGACTCGTTCCAACATGTGGCACCTGGCTGAAACCTTAATTGTCCACTTCAATTGCACTCTTCAAATAAAACTACTGCTCATTTGTAATAGCTTAGGAAATCCCATTAGGAGCCAGTGGAGAGCATTCCAGTGGCTCCCAGTGAGGGTGGTGAGGCACTGCACAGGTTGCCCAGAGCAGCTGTGGCTGCTCCATCCCTGACCATTCAATGATTCTCTGTTCTTGGGTTTGACACCCTGAAAGGTGGAACTAGATGATCTTTATGATCCCTTCCAACCCAAGCCATTCAGTGATTCCGTGCTTGAAACACTCATAGAAAAGCCACTTGGCAGCTCCATGAGTGCTGACCAGCCACTTTGTTTTCAGGCTTGATGGGCCTGTTTGAGAAGCGTCGGTTCAGGAAGTTCCTGGTGTACGTGGCCAACTTCGACGAGAACGACCCGCGCACCTTCGAGGGTGTGGATCCCAAGAAGACCACCATGCGTGATGTCTACAAGAAGTTTGACCTGGGGCAGGATGTGATAGACTTCACAGGCCATGCCCTCGCTCTGTACAGGACTGATGAGTAAGTGGAAGATCCTGTTGCTCCCCAAACCATCCGAGGTGTCCCATGTTGTCCCTGGGTGCTGTGTGGATCTCTAATGCCGGGCCCTGTCTGAGGGGATGGTTAAACTTTGGGTTCCTTGGGTTAGTGATGCATTTCCTTCCTGAATTAAACTCCATGTGACACTGAGTGCTCCCAGAAGGGAACTCCCAGGGAGATAGTGCCAGGAGGGTGGGGAAGGAAACCTCACAGGAAGTAAATGTTTTCCTCGCTGAGTGTGTTCTGGAAGTCTTGGTTTGGAAAACATCTCCAATGGTATAACTGTCCTCTCCAGCTATCTAGATCAACCCTGCCAAGAAACAATCAACAGGATTAAGCTGTACAGTGAGTCTCTGGCCAGATATGGTAAAAGTCCTTACCTGTACCCCCTCTATGGCCTTGGAGAGCTGCCCCAGGGATTTGCAAGGTGAGAACTTCAGGTTTGGTGTTTCCTCAGCCCTGCTGAGGCACCTGGTGGGGGTTTGGATGTGTGGAGTCAGTGCTTGAGCTTCCAGAATGTGGTGCTGCATAAAAATACTGCACCCATTAATGGTTCTCTTGGTGTCTTGGTCAAGAAGTGATTTCTCCATGTGAAGTTCTGCAAACCCACAGTGGTCATTGTCTGTGCAAGAAGTTGGATTTGCCTGTGTAGTATCACAGTATGTTAATGGGGTTGGAATGGAGATTAGAGATCCAATCCCTGCCCTGGGCAGGGACACCTCCCACCAGAGCAGGTTGCTCAAGGCTCATCCGACCTGGAATGAAACACTGCCAGGGCTGGGGCAGCCACAGCCTCCCTGGGCAGCCTGGGCCAGTGTCTCACCACCCTCACAGCAAAAACTTCTGCCTGATACCTAGTCTAAATTTCCCCTCCTTCAATTTACCCCTATTAAATGGGTGTAAGAGCAAGGTGTTGCCTGGAGCTCTTGCCCTATAGGACTGTCTGGGTTGCACTGAGATTATTCCTAGCTGGATAACTGCACTTAAACTCGCTCAAGCACCAGCTGATCCTGGGCAGAAAGACCAGCAGACAGCACGGGTGGTGGTTAAGCAGAGTAGAAGTATGAGGTGTGGGATCTGTCCAGGTGGACAGAGATGAGGGGCTGAAGGGCTGTGAGAACCCAGAGCTGTGGAAGTGCTGAAGTGATTCTCCTCTTGCAGGCTAAGTGCTATCTATGGAGGCACCTACATGCTCAACAAGCCCATCGAGGAGATCGTCATAGAGAACGGCAAAGTGGTTGGTGTGAAGTCTGAGGGGGAGGTAATGGTCCCTCTAGATTCTTTCCTTACTCCCACCCACATCTTCCCTCAAAACTGAGCAAAGGCAGCACAAAACCCATTTCAGAACTGTAGTAACTGCTGAGCTGGTGCTGATTTCCCTGTGCCTTGTAAGACACATTTATGTCCTTATGGTGAGGAGTCCAGCACAGCAGCCCTGCTCCAGGAGTTGGGGTGGAGTCTCCATGGGCTGCCAAGGTTGGCCTGGGAATAAATCAGACTGGTTGAACTGGAGCTGTCGTGTGTCTAACCTCAGTATGGAACCAGCTCTGCCCTTGACAATATTAGCTGTTCCAACAGCCGTGTGGCCTTCCCACAGCTTCTTCTGCACCTGGCAGGATAAAACCAGGAGTGCAGGAGCTGCTGGGAAGCTGTAAATGTGCTTCCAAATAGAGTGGGAATTCACAGCAGTTTAGCACTTGGTGGTGGGGTAAGATGTCCCTGTGAGTGGGGATGATGTGTCCTGGCCAGCAGCAGAGGTGATAATCCACCCTACAGACTGATACGTCCTAGTGCAGGTGTCGTGGAGCCTTCAGATTGCTCAGATACTAAATTATCACTGGAAAAATGAGTTTTAATGTCAGCTGGTCAATTTGGACCCATTTGGTTCAGCCAAGTTATGGTTTTAGACTGGAAGGACTGAGTTCTGTGGGGTTAGAGCTGTGACTGACCACACAGCTCTGTGTAGTAAAAATAACACACCAAGATTTGGGCTTCCCACGCTGAAGCAGGGAAGTAAGACCCAAGTGGCTCTTGGATTCCCTCAGAATCAGGCTGTTCTTGCCCCTGGGTGTCCTCTGGTGGTCACTCAAGTTGTCTGTGTGCAGGTGGCTCGCTGCAAACAGCTCATCTGTGACCCCAGCTACGTCTCGGACCGCGTAACGAAGGTTGGCCAAGTGATCCGGGTCATCTGCATCCTGAGCCACCCCATCAAGAACACCAACGATGCCAACTCCTGCCAGATCATCATTCCACAGAACCAGGTCAACCGAAAATCAGGTGTGTGGAGAGCAGGTCTCGTCGCACGTGGGATGAGGCACAGAGGTCCTTAAACGGCCTCACACCCACTGCATGCTCTGATGGGCTGGAGAGGTGGGAATCAAAAATCTGAGTATTTTATCGTGTGTTCAGGGGTTCAGAGCAGTGCTGGGAGAAGCTGGGGCACCTGTGGGCTGAAAACCATGTGAGGAACCCATGGCAGGAAGTGCCTCAGCCTGGCAGAAGTGGGTGAGGAGCATTGGGGTGCTCTGGGAGGGGTTGAGGGCTGTGTGCACGAGGGGAGGTGTTTCCTCACCCTTGAGAGGGGTGTCCTGGCTGCTGGGGACCCCAGCAGAGCTTGTCCAGGGACAGTCAGGAGACTGAGAGCATGTAGGGCTGCAGGGCCAGGCTGGAACTCCTTGAAGGTGGTCTTAGACCTGCAGGGTGATCTCTGAGCTGTGTGGTGTTTCCCCAGATATCTACGTCTGCATGATCTCCTCTGCACACAACGTGGCGGCGCAGGGCAAGTACATTGCCATTGCCAGCACCACTGTGGAGACTGCAGACCCAGAGAAGGAGATCAAACCAGCCTTGGACCTCTTGGAGCCCATCGAGCAGAAGTGAGTCCACAGAGAGCCCCTGTGCCCCTGCTCACCTCTGCTGTGAGCACTGAGGCCTGAGGGAGCTGCAGCCATTTGGCTGCCAAGAGGTGTCAAAACTGAGTTCCCTCTGCACCTTGACCCTCATGTGCTAAGCAGTGCCCCTTGATTTAACCGTCCCTGCACCCAGGCTGGTGCTCCAAAATATCCTGAGGCTCTTCTTTCTCCTTCCAGGTTCGTTAGCATCAGTGACCTGTTTGCACCAACTGACCTGGGGACTGAAAGTCAGGTAATCCCCGAGCTCGTGGCTGAGGCTGAGGGGGTGAGGCTCATGGCTTGTGTCTGAGGGGTGAGGTTTGAGGCTCATGTCTGAAGGGTGAGGCTCTAGGTTAGTGTCTCAGAGCCTGAGGCTCATGTCTGACGGGTGAAGCTCAAGGCTCTGTCTGAGGGGTGAGGCTGAAGGCTCTGCCTCAAGGGGTGAGGCTCCAGGCTCATGTCTGAGGGGGTGGAGGCTGAGGGTTGAGCCTGAGGCTCAGGGCTGAGCCCTAAACCGCTGCCTCTCCCCCCAGATCTTCATCTCGCGCACCTACGACGCCACCACCCACTTCGAGACGACGTGCGACGACATCAAAGACATCTACAAGAGGATGATGGGCTCAGAGTTCGACTTCGAGGAGATGAAACGCAAGAAGAACGACATCTACGGGGAGGAGGAGCAGCAGTAATGAGAATTCCCTAATTAGGAGAGATTGAAACGGGCTAATCTGAATATATAAGGAACTTAATGAACACTGTACGAAATTCACTATTGTAAGGCCTGCTTTTGTAATCCCATCTCGGAGAGAGTGAAGAGTACTGCACTGGTCATGTCCCCTCTTTGGATATCATGTGTTAATTATCTCATCCTAGTAGGGCTGCTGTCCAGAATCTGGCAAATTCCTGACTGATTTCCTGACTAACCTAAGCAAAAGGCAGACTGAACTCATGATGATTATTTTTGCAGACTTAGATGTTGGTGCAGATCTGAGATAACTCATTGCCAGCTGTGTCTTCCCTTTGTCTTTTTAATCATTTGTAAACCATCCTTCACAACCCTGTGCTTCTGGTGAGCTAGTAGATGTGACAGTGGTGTCACTCAACCCCTGATATCAAGGAGAATAGAAACTGAGCACTCCATTATTGTGGACAGCATCCCTAAAAAAAAAAAAAAAAAAAAGTCTCTTCCCATCAATCTTAACTCTGTGGCAAAGTTGTATCATGGACAAAACCCACATCTATTGTAGCAGCAAATGTTGGCTTAGTTCTGGGCACAGAACTTAACCTCCCACTTAAGCTTCTCAAACTGTTTACATCGGTTGGGACACAGCTGTGCCTAAGGCTCCTTTGTGTTTTAATCTTAATAAAAATGGGAGAGAACAAATGACAGAGCAGGCAAGATGTGGAAGTATTTTCTGTCCCCCCTGGTGGCTTCTCGGCTGGACCAAACGGCACTGCGGTATCGGTCTGACAGAGCCTGTGCTTCTCCTGCTCCTCACGGCTCCAAATGATTTCTGTACTGCGAAGTAAAGCCAAACTCTGGAAACCAGTCCTGGCCTCTGGTCTGATCACTTTGTGGGAAGAGCAGCAGCTCATCCCAAGATCCCTTGGGATCTCAGCCTGCCCAGGGTGGTGCAGAGCATCTGGTTCAGGGGTCACAGCAGTGGCAGGTTAAGGGTTGGACTTCATAGTCTTAGGTCTCCTTCAGCCTTGATCCTATGGTTTAGGGGTCACAGTGGCACGTTAATGGCTGGACTCAATCTTGGAGGTCTTCTTCAGCTTTGCTTCTAAGGGTGGGTGAAATGCCACCAAAGAGACAAATTTCCAGCCAGGATGGAGGAAGCTTTAGGAATGAGCAGTTCTAGCTCTCTAATGAGATTCAGAGGAGATACTAGGAGAAATGTTTTCCCTGTTAGGGTGTTCAGGCACTGGGACAGGGAATTGCCCAGGGAGGTGGTGGAGTCACCATCCCTGGAGGTTTCAGCGGGGTCTGGATGTGGCACTGGAGGATCTGGTTTAGGAGTTCCAGCAGTGACAGGTTAATGGTTGGACTTGATGATCTTCGAGGTCTCCTCCAAGCTTGGATGATTCTGATTCCCTGCTTGGCCTTCCCCCAGACACTTGCTGGAAGCAAACAATTGCTGCTCTCAGGGCTCTGAGTTCTCCCTGAATGAGATGCTCCTGGTCATGCCCTGGCTGGGCTCAGGCAGGCTGATGCCATCCATCCAGCTGTTGGGCAGCAGTTGTATAGTGAGGAGCTTTGTGCTTGTACCCAGTGCCAGGAAAATTGAGGGAATGCCTTGGAGCAGCTTTCTCCTGCTGTGCTGGGTAGGGTTGGTGGCAGAGGTTCCTCCTGCCCTTCAGCAGTTGCTGGAGCTCTCATGCTGTTGCTGTGGAGGAACTGTCACAGCCACAAGCCTACCTGTGGCTGCCCCTTTCCTTCCTCCCTCCTGGGCTTAGGGGCTTTTGGCACTTCCTCTTCCCAGTGCCAGTTCCAGGAACAACCTTCCCACTTTAGCTTGGTGGCTGGAGCAGTGGTTGGAGAAGTTCTGCTGTGCCTTGTACTTCTCTTGAACTGTGACTACTCAGTGCCAACGAGCTGAGTCTCCCCAAAGGCAAGACAAGTGGAAAATGAAATCCCTGCCCTAAATGCTGTTGTTACCTCTCTCTGCTGTAACCTGTTATTCCTGTGACTCTCCTGCAGGGAAGGCTGGATCACCCAGGAGCTCACACCACTGTCCTGCTCATTCCTTGGAGGCAAAGCAGAATAGAGCTAATTCCAAAGGTGGGAAAACCCCTCTCCTCCTGAATGCTGAGTGGAAAACCCTCTCCAGGAAGCAGAGGTGTGTGCAACTGCAGTTTCGTAAGTTTTATTAATCAAACCCTGTACAAAGTCATCCTGTACATAATGTCCTTTCCTCCTTTCCTTTAAGAGGACACAAACCCCGAGAGCAGCCCTGGCTGGGAGCTGAGGAGCTCTCTGGCGTGGCAGCACAGCCATAAATAAGTTTTATTTGTTCCTGCATCCTGCTGTGTGCAACACTCCCACCTGCTGGAATGTGCTCCAGGACTGAAACAGTACCAAGAGGCAACAGGGGTGAAGTGAAATGTAGTGTAGAGCAGAGGCTGCAGCTCTGAGGTTCCCTCAGCCCTGGGGCAGGGCCATCCCAGAGGTGTGAACAGCAACAACCATGTGGAAAAATAATGGATTCTCATTCCTATCCTTCCAAGGAGAGGCTCCTTGAAATGTATATCCTATGTCTTCCAATGTCAGCTGCACTAAGTACTTGCAAACACTCCAATAACTTAACTGGGTAGTGGTGAAGTAACCACTGAACTGTGGATGGCAGGGAGTGAATCCCTGGCAGGACCTGCATTTGCCATCTTTAAATAACATCTATATACAACACAACCAGCACCAACCTGCCCCCACCAGCAGCAGCACCCAGAACCCACGGGGCTGATGGGGCTGTCCCACTGGGACCAGAGTGCCCAGACTGGTGTCACAGGGCCTGGGGAGGAGCTGTCCTGGCTTCGCTTCAGCACCTGCAACACAGAGACAGGGCACAGGTCACTGCTCTGCTCCCTCCTCACTCTGGGCACTGCCAGCCCCGTCCAGAGCTTCCCCAGGGCACATCTTGGGGTGTTTCCCATTCCCAGTGGGGCCAAGTATGGCTCTCCTGGCTATGGCTGCAAGAGCCCCAAATCCTGGGCTGCACCCCAAGGGCCAAGGAGGAGATTCTCCCCCTCTGCTCTGCTCTGCTCTGCCCCACCTGGAGTGCTGCACAGCTCTGGTGTCCCCAACAGCACAAGGACATGGAACTGTTGGGGCAAGGCCAGAGGAGGCCACAGAGCTGAGCAGAGACTGGAGCACCTTCCCTACGAGGACAGGCTGAGAGAGTTGGGGCTGCACCTTGGGAAGGTCCCTGCTGTGCTGCAGGAGCAGCTGGAGCGCAGTTCCCTGCCTGCCACCCCTCCAGGAGCTGCTACAAGCCCTTTGGGATAGATCCCAAGCTTTCTCCCATACCAGTAGCTTCTTCTGAAGGGTGCAGCCACTTTCTGCACCATCCCCAGGAAGGTGTTGACATCAGCCACAAGGATTCCTTTGCTCTCCAGGCTCTCCCTGCTGCTGGTGGGATTTTCTGCAAGGGAAGGAGCAGCACCATTACTTCAAAACCAGTTTGTCCAAAAACCTGCAGAAAACATCTCCAAATCCCACTGTGGTTGTTCTGCTCTGCAAATGGGAGCAGATAACACCCTCAGCCCACCAAGGCCAGAACTGGGCTGTGATGTGAAGTCATCCACAGGCTCCAATAACTACCAGAGCTTAGCAGACTCCCAAAAATCTGTTCACATTGCTTTTTACTGCAGACACACTGCTCACACCTGACCCACACCTGAAATAAGTGATCCTAGCAGAAACAAGAGGAAAACAGAGTGTTTCTTGTCCCTCCTCCACCACCTCCCAGACCAATTTAAGGTGGTACTTGAGGACAACTGCACAGGGTGCCCAGAGCTGCCCTTACCTGTGAGGTACACAGCAAACCTGGTGCTGATGTGCTGCACCTGCAGGTCCAACAAGCACTTGATGTACTCAGAGCTGGGGGATGAGGTGGAGTCACAGCTGTGGTAGTGCAGCACCTCGATGAGATCTGCTCCTTGGCATGACTTGAGGATCAGGTGCTTCTTGTGGGCATTGGTGTCCACCCTGCTGGGACAGGAGAGGGGTAATGAGCAGGTAGGATGGGACCTGCCTTTCCATGTGGGTTTTTTTTTTTCCAACCTCGTGGATGCTTTTCCTCCACACTGGATGGAGAAGGCAGGAGCAAGTGTCACTGTATGGATAGCAGGAAAACAAAACGACTCCTTGCTCCATGCAGCTCCAACTGAATGTGCTGGTTTGGGCTGGGATAGGGTTAATTTTCCTCCCAGCAGCTAGTGTAAGGCTGAGCTTCGGGTTTGTGCTGGGAACTGTGAATAAATCAGGGATGTTTCCATGATTGCTGAGCAGAGCTTGCACGGGGCCAAGGCCTTTGCTGCTCCTCACACACCCTGCTGTGGGGAGGATGTGGGGCACCAAAAGTTGGGTGTTATCCATGGATAAGGCCATGCTGGGACAGGTGCAGCTCAAAGTAGCTGTGGATGTGTCTAGGCCACAGCAGGGACATCCCTGAGGAGAGTGTGGCTCGTGTACTCTGCTTGAAGCAGGTACACCCTAAGGGACTGCAGGTAGACAAGGGGAAGAGTTCACTGCAATGTCAAACCCAATGGTCCAAAGGGTTAAGGGTGGGAATTGCATTGGCAGATCCTTCAGACCAATTTCCTCTTTGTTCCTGTCCACATCACCCACTGAGAATTCCTCATCACTTCCCCAGATCCCACAGGTGATGGGACAAAAAAAGGATCAGCAAAGAGGCTGGGGAAGGTGCCCTGAGCTCCTGGGGGGTGTGTGCAGGAGCTGGTGGGAAGGAGCTCGGTTTGCTCTAGGTATGTGCAGCTCCTTGAATGGGATCTGTGCCTTTCCTCCAGCCCTTGCAGGCTGCAGCACTCCCTGAGGGTATCTCTGCCAAGGAGAGGGGAACTGCCTGATGGAGGTGCAGCAGGGGGCAGGAGCAGCTGCCAGAGCTCTGCCTCATCCAGGGTCACGTGCAAGACAAGGTTTCAGGCCATCTGATGCTCCCCAGCAGCCCCCCTCCTGCTGCTGCTCCACCTCACACAGGTATAGAAAGATCTGCTCTTGCAAAGCCATTACCTAAGGTCTTCTCGGAGCTTCTTGCTCTCCCTGTAGTGAAGGAGCCACTTCCATCTCCCACTTCTGTTCAGCTTCTCCAGCACCTTCACCACCTCCTTCAGCTGGCCTGAGGAGGAGAGAGCAAGAGCCAGAAGGTGACCAAGGGTGGAAAAAGGGCCTGGGGGGGGTCTCTGGCCCAATCCCTGCTCAAATTTTTGCCACCTCAGGTTGCTCAGGGCTTATCCTAGGTGAGGTTGGAATCTCTGGGATCCTGCCCTGGTGTCTGAATTAACCTGCTGTGAATTTCATGCCCCTAGTATCTAAACTGGTAAATGCAACTTGTCCCTGTCACCTCTTGTCGCATCACTGTGCATTTCCAGGAGGAGTGTGGCTGTTTTCTCTGTCACTTCTCATTAAGGAGCTGAAGACAATAAGGTCTCCCCTTTGTCCTTCCTTCTCAGTTAGGTATTGGGAAGGAATTCCTGGCTGGGAGGTGCTGAGGCACTGGCACAGGTTGCCCAGAGCAGCTGTGGCTGCTCCATCCCTGGGAGTGTTCCAGGCCAGGTTGGATGGGGCTTGGAGCAGCCTGGGCTGGTGGGAGGTGTCCCTGCCCATGGGGTTGGAACCAGATGGTCTTTAAGGTCCTTCCAACCCAAACCATTCTATGATTCTCCAGGCTGAACATCCTTGTACAACCCCTACTAGAGCCTCTGTTGTACTCTAGATGTTTTTGGAACCCCTGACCTCAACCCACCATCCAGATGAGGTTTACAATGTCAAAGCAGGAGCAGAGGATCAATGGAAAGATTTTGAAAGGTGTCAACCAACCAGTGGGCAAGGCCAGGAGCCAACACTGTGTTCACAACCGAAGAGAGAGGCCACAGGACTCACCCAGTGTCACTGTTTTCAACACGTCGTCGCTGGACACCACGAAGCCACCAGTGTGGAACAGCTCCTGGTAGGTGTGACCTGGGACATCTTCAGGGCTGTCCACCCCAGCAAACACCACGTTGGGGCACTGCTTCAGCTGCAGCAAGCATGGCACCTGCTCAGGGCAGAGAGAGAGGCTGTTCTGCACCCCTGAGACATCCAGGGAGCTCACCCAACCCTCTGCATCACCCCAACACTGCTGTCTCCAGAGCCCAAAGGCTGGGAATGGGATCCAGGGAGCTGCAGCAGCTCAGGCTGCTGCAATTCCACAGAGCCTGTGAGCCAAAGCCTGGCTGGGTAAGTCCAACCTCACCCCTTTGACACCTGGAGTGCTGCACAGCTCTGGTGTCCCCAACAACAGAAGGACATGGAACTGTTAGAGCAAGGCCAGAGGAGGCCACGGAGCTGAGCAGAGACTGGAGCACCTTCCCTATGAGGACAGGCTGAGAGAGTTGGGGCTGCTCAGCCTGGAGAAGAGAAGGTTGTGTGGAGAGCTCAGAGCAACCTGCCAGGAGCTGAAGGGGCTCCAGGAAAGCTGCAGAGGGACCCTTGGGTAGGAGCTGCAGGGACAGGACAAGGAGCAATGGGGAGAAATGGGAAGGGGAAATTGAGATGAGATCTCAAGCAGAAGTTTTTGCTGTGAGGGTGATGAGACACTGTCCCAGGTTGCCCAGGGAGGCTGTGGCTGCCCCAACCCTGGCAGTGTTTCATTCCAGGTTGGCTGAAGCCTTGAGCAACCTGCTCTGGTGCAAGGTGTCCCTGCCCAGGGCAGAGGGATGGCACTGCATGATCTCTAAGCTTCATTCCAACCCTTTAACACACTATGACTTGGGCTACTCCAATCTTTCCAAGGGATCCTGCGATTAAAAGACAGTCCTGAGAGGGGAAAAGAAGACAGGCTGAGGCATTACGTGGTGGATGTGTGAGGAGATGTCTTGGTTCCTGATGATGACCAGCAGCCTGTCCGTGTCCTGGCGCTGTGCTCCGCAGAAGCTCAGAGGTTCAACCTTCTCACAACCCTTTTGCTTCAGCAAGGTCTGAAACAGGAACCACGGTCAGGTGAGGATAGAGAACATGTCCAGGCACACATGTGCCTGAGAACAAGAGAGGATGAGACAGTGTCCCCAGCCAGGCACACTGGTGTCAATGACAGCTGATGTCTGCCAAGTGTGTTCCACCTGGTTAGGAAACCACCTTGAGCCTCTCACCATACCATGCATGGATCTCTTTGCTATTCCAGAGCAGCAAATCCTCCTTGCAAACATCCTCCCTGAATCTCCAACCCCTTAATGAGCTCCAGCAAAAAACACCCTGGGGGGTTGAGTTTGGGCTGCCTGAACCCCATCAGGTTTGGCCTGAGGGATGGTCAAGGGACAGGACAAGAGGAAACACCTCAAGTTGTGTCAGGGGAGGTTTACCTTTGATATTGGGACAACCTCTCCTGGAAAGGGCTGTCCAGCCCTGGCACAGCTGCCCAGGGCAGGGATGGAGTGACCATTCCTGGAGGATTTAACAACCATGTGGATGTGGCACTTGGGGACATGACCATTGGTGGCCTTGGCAGTGCTGGAAATGGTTGGACTTGAAACTAAAATAAAGTAGTTTTAGCTTGGATACTGTGGAGGAATTCCTGGCTGGGAGGTGCTGAGGCACTTGCACTGG